AGTAGCTAAGATGCTGNAATGCAAGTAGAAAAATAGGAAAAAACCTTTGGTGGGAAGGTAACAGCGTTCCGTGCACCTTTAGTCATGCCGGCCACAGGACCACGGAGACGTCTTCGGACAGCGCTGGCTCTTTGGCTTTGAAACGGCAATGAGCACCGCCCCCTAGAGTCAGGAACGACTAGCACATATGTGCAAGGGGAACCTTTATCTTTACATACATACATACAACAAAAATAAGATGCAAAACAGAAAAACAAATATACACATCCAACACTCATAACAATTACAAAAAGAGAGAGAAAAGATTGGTGTACAAGAAAGGGGGGGAAAATGACCCTTTGAGAATCATATAAATTTAACATTAATCATATAGAATTCACCCTGGCTGGATGGTGGGAAAAAGATAAAGAAAATGATAAAATTGGTTTAAAGTTGGTTGTGTTCTTTGTCGTTTGCTTCTGCTTTTTTAAAAACTTCTCTAAGTGTAGAGGATTCACTTAAAGACATAAACTTGGGGACCTATGAATAGGAATTGGAATATTTTCTGCAATGCTGTGAATATTCAATTATGACTTGAATTCCTGCTGGGAACATTCTGGGATCAAAAGAAGGACAAAGGAGATTTGTGCTCCGGAATCCATTTCACATTTGGATTTGAGAGCCATTGATTTTATGTAGCCATGATATGTGCTTGTAAAAGTGGATTATTTCTCTCCATTGAGCCTACTGGGAGCAAGCATTTAATGTCAACACTATATTTTAGCATACAATTAAAACCCAAACCAAAAAATCAATATTACCAAGCTTGGGATTACACACGAGGTTCCCATTCTAGCTTATGTAATTGCTCCAGAGTAAATGGTTTGCAAACGGCAGCTTGTCATTTCACAAGGAGGGTTTTGGTTACTGCGATGATTAATCCATGCTCCTTCCCCTCTCTCAATTTTTAATAGTGTGTTTTAAAACCCTTTACGACCAGTAATTCAGAGAAAGGTATTGATTTCTTTTTTTCTTTTTTTAAGTGATAGTACTATGTTGCTTGCTACCAGGAGAAAGAAAGCTTGTGTTAAACAAGGCCTTCTGCTTGAGAGCTCGGTCTTGGTCTCCTGAGACCTTTCAAGTCGTCAGAGTCTAAAAACCGAGTCTTGTAAGATGATTGACAGGAACTTCACTCACATGGTTCTGAAGAGTATCGTGCCCTTGTCAAGTTGCCAGAAGGACTGCATCTGCGGTATGCATCTCTAACCATCTGTAAAACCAATAAACTATCTACAGAGATAAGCTAACCCCCACTGCTGCCTGCCTTTAATCCCATTTTACCACTAACTGCTCTTGAGGTTGACCCATGTTTAGCAGATATAAACGACAAGCTTTATATTTTGCTAGTTGAATACCCTGTTTTTCTGAAAACAAGACCTCCCTGGATAATAAACCCAGTTGGGCTTTTGAGGGCATGCCTTCCCCGAAAACGTTGCAACACAGCAGCAGCCATGAGGTGGCCACGCTCGGCGCCTCCTGCACCTCAAAAATAATAAGACCTCCCCAAAAATAAGGCCAAGCGCTTATGTCAGGGATGAAAAGAAAATAAGACCCTGTCTTATTTTGGGGAAAACATGGTAGACTAGGGGTGTGTGTGCTTACTATGACCAGGATTGAGCAACTAGCTGGGAGTGCATTGAGTGCAAACAAAATTGGAACCGACCAGGGGTGGGTTGCTAATCCTGTTCCAACCGGTTCGGTTGGAACGTGGCCGGCGGCGTCCTCGTGCATGTGCGCAGTTCACGCATGCGTCTTAGTGCCTGTGTGATGCTCCAGCTGCTCGCGGAGACTCGCGCAGGCGCTGTATGTGCCATCCAGCTGCTCATGGAGAATTGCGCAGGTGCTGTATGTGCCATGTGCCTGCGTGGAAGCGCAGAAGCCTTCAAAGACCAGTAAGGAGCGCAGGCAGGCGGGTGGGCCCTTCGCCATTCCCAGAAGTTACTTCCGGGTTCGCCGACCAACCGGTTCGCAGGGACCACTGCGAACCAGTTGAAACCCACCCCTGGAACCGACCCATCACGATTCCCCAGTATTTAGAAGAAGGATTCCTCCAGAAGAGACGTGACCAATAGGGGCCATATTGTCTACTCCTGACTTAGAAAGTTATCCGTGGAATACAGCAGTCTCCATCCAAAGCGTGGCACTGTGGATTCAGTGGTCCTCATAACCTTCTGACCACAAGGGTGGATGAGGTAGAACATTGGCCCATTGGAGGTTGGTGGACTTCAGCTCCCAGAATTCCCAAAGTAAAATTGGCTTCATCATAGGAACAACCTGTTTAATGACCATTACAACTTACGACTATGAATGGGCAGGCTTTGCTACGGTCCTAACTCAAGGAGTACCTGTATATGTCAGGCGTGAAAGGCAGGTCCACACGTGAAGCACCAATTAAACTCATTTATTGCTACTCATGCATGTGCACAAGAACCTTCTCGATTAATGGCTGGCACCTTCTTGGAGTTAGGCTCAATGGAATTCAAGGGAAGTTGGACTTAGTTCACTTGTGGCTACGTAGGGATTTGAGGCGGATGCTTCTTTTTACTCCACCCACAGTTCTGAGATCCCTTCTCCTACAATATAAGACTTGAGGCTCTCAAGTGCTAAACAAGCTGAATCAAAACACCTCTCCACTTAAGTGCAGCAGATGAGTAAATTCGGCGCGCTGGAGTGTGCAATCCCCCGAGTCAGTCGGACGTGGGCTGCTCCAGGCTTTCCAACGGTTGTGCTTTTGACGTAACAAAATCAGAATCTCCAGTAGATGTGAGCCTGTTAAAAATGAGATGAAAACCAGCCTCAGGATGTGTCTGACTTAGGAAGAACCCGGAAATCAAGGTGAAACCGTACACCGCGACAGTTCCTCTCAGCTGGTCTGTATTTAAAGCAGAAATCCTATCGAGACCCAATTAGAATCCTAAGGGGACCGATTTGTAGAGAGACGGAGATCTTTTAAATCCACGCTGAGCTTCCCTGCCTCTTTCCAAGTGGAAAACAAGAGGCCACGTCTACGAGACAAGTTAAAAAATAACAATATGGCAGCTTCCTTCTACCCCAGGACGTCCTGATAGGATTACTATTTTCAGTAAGGGGATGCATATGTAGAACATGGCCGTTTTGGAGTAAGATGCACCTTCCTGGTTCCTGTGAACATTTCTTTGCGTGCGGCTTCCTTCGGTTTTCGTTTACATTATACAGCCGTTCATGGCTCCGGGAAGCTCACAAATAATGGAAAACAAATGTAGATACTTGAAGCACAAGCCAATGCAACTCAAGACACGTATAATCAAAATATTCAGATTGGCTCTCTTCCACCACCTGGCTCGCCCGGCGTCCAGAGAGAAAAACTAGACATTCGAGATCTTACGAAAGACCCCAAAACATGGCATCGTCTGAATCTCAAGGGGTAGAGAGTTCTGGATAAATCTTTTCTTGAAAACCGCCAGTGATGGGGCACCCACAACTCCAGGAGTCCAGCTCTTCTGTTGGTTAATTATTCTCATTGTCAGGAAATTCCCTACTTATTTCTAGGTTGGATCTCTTTCGGAGGCATTGCTCCTTGTCCTGCCTTCAGGTGCTTTGGAGCAGGGGTCCCCAAATTTTAAGCCCTCGGGGACCACTAAATTCATAATTTTAAATCCTGTGGACCATTAAGATGATGTGCCTAATGACCGGGTAGATGGGCGTGGCAAGGTGGTCATGTGAGTGGGTGGGCGTGGCCAACTCAATGTCACTCACATTGAGGGGCGCCTCACCAGCCTCTACTCGCCCCTCCCCTGTCAGCCACTCCTCGCCTGCTCCAACAGGAAGCAGTTGCTGGAGCAGAGCAGCCACCAGGAGAACGAGTTGGCAAAACAGCTCAGTTCAAATTGGATCTGACCAAGAAGGANTGTGTTTATTGTTTAATGTTATATGGCCCCGGTTATGCACAGTATATATGTGACTGTATGAAAATGAAAATGGAAAATAAAAACACATTTATACACAAAAGTCCACTCTACTAGCAAAATCCCACCATTTTTTTTTTTTAATTGGCTCATGCTTATCATTTTGAGTTTTCGGTGCATCTGTCAGGGTTCCAATTGATGCACCCACAGCAAAGAAAACTCCGAGGCAGGTAGATTCCTCAAGGAATAGTTTTATTGGATATATCATATTGGGCACAGATCTGGTGGAAACCAACTCCCACGGTTTTCACCTAATTAAAAGTAGAGGAGTTTTGTCCTTTCCCCAAACAGTCACATGATCCAATCAAGGTGTCTCCCAGTTGCCTGGTGATGTCACTCCTCCTCTCTTTCTGACCAGATGTGGGAATGTCCTTGGTTCCCAAGAGAAAGTATTTTGTTTTGGCTATAACAGCTATCTCTATTCCACCCTTTTCCTATCCCTCAGCTCCAGTGTGGCAATACTGAAGTGACAAAATGGCTACGATCAGGTCAGCTTCAGGATTGACAGGATCCCTGAAAGCAGATTAAAGGCGGCGTCCCAAGTCTCCAAGATTTGAACTGTCTGATGGTTCCCCTCGCACATCTGTGCTAGTCGTTCCTGACTTTAGGGGGCGGTGCTCATCTCCGTTTCAAAGCCGAAGAGCCAGCGCTGTCCGAGGACGTCTCCGTGGTCATGTGGCCGGCATGACTCAATGCCGAAGGCGCACGGAACACTGTTCCCTTCCCAACAAAGGTGGTTCCTATTTTTCTACTTGCATTTTTTATGTGCTTTTGAACTGCTAGGTTGGCAGAAGCTGGGACGAGTCACGGGAGCTCACTCCGTTATGCGGCGCTAGGGATTCGAACTGCCAAACTGCCGACCTTTCTGATCGACAAGTTCAGCGTCTTTGCCCCTGAGCCATCGCGTCCCCTTGTCTGATGAATAAGATCGAATGGGATTCCAAAGGTGGTGTTAAAACAGTTGCCAAGGTTGAAAAATTTCAACAAAGGCTTTTCGGATAGAGCTGTATGGCTCACCTCACATCCGGCGGTGTAGGCTGCTAATCTCGCCAAGGACTGCTTTCCGGAGCCACCGACGCCTACCAGCAGGGCATGGCCCCGGTCCATCCGGATGATACGATGAACGCGGGTCAAGTGTTCCAGAGCGTCGTCGAACAGCACGAGGTTCATCTTCGTGTTCACTTCATTGTATTCTTCCAAAATCTCCTGCGAGCGAAAAGTCAGACGAAAAGGATGGCTTAGCAATAGCAATAGCAATAGCAGTTAGACTT